CAAGATTTAATTTTTTAGTGGTTTAGATCAGAAAGTTGCCCAAAATTTAGAGTAAGAGGACAAGAGAAGGTTATATTCGTCTTTTTGATGTAAAGTAGAAACCTTGATTTTTTTTGTGGAAAAGAGTTTCTGAGATAAAAGAAGCTGTTATTGTGGCGCTCACTGCTTAGCTTCGGGATTCGGTCCAATCCTCTCTTTAGGAAAAGATTGACCAAAAAAGCCCCATACCATTAGAAGCTGAAGAAGACGAAGAAGAAAGGAGTCAGAAAGGAGAGAGAAGAGCTTTTTAGTCTTGTCCGTACGGTTTGTACAACTCTTACTTTCGGATCCGGTTTCGTTTTCGAATTCGGGCATTTCTCGGTTTTTGCTTATTGCTTTGTTTTTCTCTCTTTGGGTTGCTCTCTTTAGATTGAAGTCTTTTAACCGGGATCTTCGATTTCTGTTGCTTTCATTTTGTCTTTAAGGAAGATTGAAATGAAGAACCTTTGGTGATTCTGATGATCACCAAGTTTTAATTTTTGTTTCCATTATGGTCTCATTTTGAACTTTTATGAGTATGGATTTCAAATTCAGATTGAAATTTCGGGAAGTTGTGAACTTGTGATGAACATTTTGGATTCCTTTGATAAATTCTTAAAAAGTAGGATTCTCTCTATAGCTTTTGGTTTGGTGAATTTGGCATACTCTGGCTTTATTTGGAGTCGTGAGAGGAGGAATCTCTTCTTTATTGAGGATTCTTAAAAGATTGATACTTTGATATAAAAGTTTTGATTTTCCCTTTTAAAAAAAAGAGTTTATGATTGTAAATTCGTCTTCTCCCCTTTTTTGAGAAAAACAAAAAGGGGTTTTTGTTTGCTCCTCTCATTCATTATCTACCTCTCCGTGAAATTGATCAGTTCTTTGTTCTTTCAAGTGGGGGACCAAGAATTCAAATGCGTGTCTGAATTTTCTTATCTGATAGAGATTTGCAGGAAGTCTTTGCTTTTGTGACCATATATTACTATTTTTACATGTTTTCCTCATTAGTTGTATTCATCAAAAAGTTAGTTAATTTAATTTTCTTCTGATTCTGATTCTTAGGTTCATACATCGTGACTTGGAACCTGATTCTTCATTGACTGAGTGTAGCTGAGCACATTCCATATCCTCTGCTTGCCATTAGAGTAGCCTCATGCTTGTGTTGAAAGAGTATTCTCCTTGAAGCTGTGACGCCTTTTGCTCTGCTGTTTGTCTGAGCGTTTAGCTTCTTTGGAGATTTACATGTCTGGCCTTGAAGTGGGACGACCAGTTGCCACTCCTGAAAGAACAAAATCCGTTGATGCACTCACCAAGAAAGAGATCTTATCAGCGCTAAACAATGGAGAGATTTCAGAAACATCAGAGGACGCTAGGTTCAGAGTTAGGGAGCTCCTACTCCCCAACGCCGAATCCTACTGCGGTTCTCTCCTTGGAAACGTTCCCGAGGGCTCAGGGAAGTACGTGTGGTCAGATGGTTGCGTCTACGATGGAGAATGGAGGCGTGGGATGAGGCACGGCAATGGGAAGATGAGATGGGCTTCAGGAGCTTGTTATGAAGGTGAGTTCTCAGGCGGTTACATGCACGGCACAGGGACTTATACGGATGCTAACAACTTGACGTATAAAGGAAGATGGAGGCTTAGTCTGAAACATGGCCTCGGTTATCAGGTTTACCCTAATGGAGACGTCTTTGAAGGTTCTTGGATTCAGGGGATGGGAGAAGGGCCAGGGAAGTACACTTGGGCTAACAAGAACGTTTATCTTGGGGACATGAAAGGCGGGAAGATGTCAGGGAAGGGGACGTTGACTTGGATCACTGGAGACTCCTATGAAGGGAGCTGGTTGAATGGGATGATGCATGGTCTCGGTGTGTATACGTGGAGCGATGGAGGCTGCTATGTTGGGACGTGGACAAGAGGTTTGAAAGACGGGAAGGGATCGTTTTACTCAGCGGGGACACGTGTTCCGGCTGTGCAGGAGTTTTACCTAAACGCTCTGAGGAAGAGAGGCGTGTTGCCTGATATGAGGAGGCAGAACCAGGTTGCTTCATCGGTGAATATGGAGAATCTGAGAGTTGGTGTGAGCCGTGATAAGCTCTCGAAAGGGAGCTTGATGAACTTGGAGCAGTCACGCAACGGGAGGGTTTCTTTGGAGAGACGTTGGAGTCTTGAAGTGTCGATTGAGAAAGTGATTGGACATGATTACTCTGATTTGTCGGAGGCGGTGCTGGATGGTGGAAGCAGCGTGCAGTATAAAGCGAACATACCGATCTTGGAGAGGGAGTACATGCAGGGTGTTCTGATCAGTGAGATGGTGGTGAACAACGGGTTTACACGGACGTCAAGAAGAGCGAAAAGGAAGCATAAGAGACTTGTGAAAGAAGCTAAGAAGCCAGGGGAAGTTGTGATTAAAGGTCACAGAAGTTATGATTTGATGCTTAGTTTGCAGCTTGGAATCAGGTATGCTTTGCTTTTTTGTAATCATGTGTCATGTGAGAGAGTGTTTTAGCTCTGTGTTAGTGAAATAGTTTGAATGTTAGGTACACAGTGGGGAAGATTACGCCTATACAAAGGCGAGAAGTAAGGACAGCGGACTTTGGACCTAGGGCTAGCTTTTGGATGAGTTTTCCTCGAGTTGGCTCCACCATGACTCCTCCTCATCGCTCAGAAGATTTTAAATGGAAGGACTATTGCCCAATGGTATTCAGGTTAGTATTGATGGAACTTATTAGCTATAGTAGTTGTTTCCATGGTGTTTACATTTCATTGTAAACTCTTGTAGGAACTTGAGGGAGATGTTCAAGATCGATGCAGCTGATTATATGATGTCCATTTGTGGAAATGATACCTTGAGGGAACTTTCTTCTCCGGGGAAGAGTGGCAGCGTCTTCTTCCTGTCTCAGGATGATCGGTTCATGATTAAAACACTCAGGAAATCTGAAGTCAAGGTTTGTGTGACAACTTATGCATCCATCTTCCTAGTTTTCTCCGTTGTGTGATGTAATGGACATTGAGATTTTGAAAATTTTAATGTGTAGGTTCTTTTGAGGATGCTTCCAGATTACCATCATCACGTGAAGACGTATGAGAACACTCTCATTACTAAATTCTTTGGTCTTCACAGAATCAAACCATCAAGTGGTCAAAAGGTCCTGATACAATGAGTCTTTTATGATTTTGATTTGTACTATCGTTAGCTTTGAGACTGCAACATTTGGAAATCCAAATCTAACTTTAAAAAAAACTCTCTCTTGCATTTTCAGTTCCGCTTTGTGGTGATGGGGAACATGTTCTTTACAGATCTAAGAATCCATCGGAGATTTGACCTTAAAGGTTCGTCACTGGGACGCTCTGCAGACAAAGTGGAGATAGACGAGAACACGATACTTAAAGATTTGGATCTCAACTACTACTTCTTCTTGGAACCTTCTTGGCGGGAAGGTTTACTAAGGTATTGCTCTCTGCAAGACCAATTTGAAAGATATATGATACATGTTTAACAGTTTTCTGGTGATGTAACAGGCAACTAGAGATCGATAGCAAGTTCTTGGAAGACCAGAACATAATGGATTACAGCCTTTTGCTCGGTGTGCATCATCGAGCTCCAGAGCACTTAAGGTCCCAATTGGTCCGTTCTCGAAGCATAACAGCTGACGCGTTAGAAAGTGTAGCTGAAGACGGTGAGACTCTCTACTCATCGCCCTCTAGAATGTTTCATACATATTTGTTAAAGCTTGTTTCTAAGTGATGATGATGAAACAGATACAATAGAGGACGACATGTTGTCTTACCACCAAGGACTAGTTCTTGTTCCTGGAGGAAGTGACAACATTGTAACTGGCCCTCACATTAGAGGCAGCAGATTACGAGCATCCGCTGCTGGCGATGAAGAAGTCGATCTCCTTCTCCCTGGAACAGCCAGGTAACTAACTCACAACGGCAAATGAGAAACCAAGAATCTCTTGGTCTGATTTGAAATCTCTTGAAAATGCAGGTTGCAGATACAGCAAGGAGTGAACATGCCGGCGAGAGCAGAGCTAATACCGGGAAGAGAAGAGAAAGATAAGCAGATTTTACATGATTGCTGCGACGTTGTGCTCTACCTTGGGATTATAGACATCTTGCAAGAGTACAACATGACCAAGAAGATCGAGCACGCTTACAAGTCTCTTCACTTTGATTCTCTTTCGATATCAGCCGTTGATCCTACTTTCTACTCCCAACGTTTTCTTGAGTTCATCAAGAAAGCATTTCCACAGAACAACACATAGAGAAAGAGAGATACACAGAAAAATGTTTTTGTTTTGTTTTGTAGAGAAAAAATATGCAAAAATTGCTGTAAACTGTAAAGTACTCTGTAAACAAAGACCTTGAGAGAGGGATTCAGTAAAGAAACTATTTTTCTTATTTTTTGAATCGCCGCCGCAAACGCAAAACGTAGTCGCAACTGTAACCGCAACTGCTTGATTGATTGCATGAGAGGTTTGGTATTATGTCAAAACGCAAGGCAGAAGAAGACACGTGGACACAACTGAAGACGGACTTTGGAAGAAAAGTTGAAACAGAACCGGATACGTGTCGTGAATCGAACTGTCGGGAGAAAGAAATTGACGTCTTTAACTGTGTGTTTTGTACAATTTGTCATAAGACGTTTTCTCATTGATTTTTTGCTCTGTAAATTGATAAAGTTTCTTCCTTTCTTAATTTGTATGAATCATAGATTTCTCTGTACAGAAAAAGTTTTCTCCTTTTTGGATTCATTCTTACAAAGTGAAGAGAGATTAGAGAGAGAGAGTTGATATAAACAAGAATTCACCATCATTACAATACATTGAAAGAAGACAAAAGGCAGTTTATAAGTAGGGCCTGGTTTAATTTGATTTGATCCCTCCTGAGTTTTTGTCGTTTGGTTTCTTTTTGTTATTTTTTCAACAGTAGTATCAGATCGACAAAAGAGAAACAAATCGAGAGATATTGTAGAAAATGGGATCTTCTTCAGGGCAGAGTGGATACGATCTGTCTTTCAAGATCTTGTTGATTGGAGATTCTGGTGTTGGTAAAAGTAGTTTGCTTCTCAGCTTCATTTCCAGCTCTGTCGAAGATCTTGCTCCCACCATCGGTAATTTCTTGTTCTGTTTTCTTGCTGGGATGTTTCTTCTCCAAGAATGGTAATTAGCTATATCTGTCTCAGAGCTAAAATCTTATCTGGTCAAACTTCAAATGAAGTCAACTGAAACTGAGACTGAAACTTTCTTTTTGATTTTCTGCTGAATTCCTTAGAAATATGAACTGTGAAAAGGTAGTTTCTTGCTGTGACCTTGTCTGATAAGTTACAAATTGATAATTGAAGACTTGAAGCTCATTCATCTCTTTGAGCTTAGTAGTTTCCATAAGTGGAAGGAAGCTCATGAATCTCTCAAAGCTTATTGGAACTATATGTTTTGTTTCCTCTTCTGTTAACTCAAATTTGACCAGGTAGACTTGTGTCCATTACAAGAGTATCATAGCAAATATGTGCTTGAAGATCAGATCAGTCTGATAAAAATTGTAAAACTGAACATTCCTAGCTTAGTTTGTTTGATTTTTCATGTCCCTCTGGCATTTTTTTTTAATTTGGTTGGTCTGATGGGTATAACACACTGTAGGTGTTGATTTCAAGATCAAACAGCTGAAAGTGAAAGGGAAAAGAGTAAAACTTACTATCTGGGACACAGGTAAGCTAAACCTTATAGAGGAAACCGAGAGAGAGTTACCGCAAAACTCATAGTTAATGTGATTCCTTGGTTTGTTGTTGTGTAGCTGGACAGGAAAAGTTCAGAACATTGACGAGTTCTTATTTCAGAGGCTCCCAAGGAATCATTCTCGGTAATGATATGATCATAGAATTGTCCCCTTGTCAATTACTGTTTTGGTAAAATGTTCTTTAAGACTTCTAATACTGTCTCCTGGTTTTCTGGATGATCGATGATGATGCAGTTTATGATGTGACGAAAAGAGAGACATTTCTAAACTTAGCTGATGTTTGGGCTAAAGAGGCTGAGCTCTACTCGACTAACCATGACTGCATCAAGATGCTCGTTGGCAACAAAGTCGATAGAGTGAGTAGTAGTAATAGTAACACTTGTTATCAACTTCAACTTGAACTAGGTTTCGCTTAGAGTTTCAAATTGCAAG